AAAAAAAAAAAAAAATGTGGCATATGTAGTTCTATGAATAAAAAGCAAATTACATATAAACCACTTGGATCATTGTTTTTGTTCCTTCCTGGTCAATCAAAAATCGGTACATGTCTGCTGTTTGTTTATGGTATGCGATGCCCATGCATGATTAACATGACATAGCTAAGGCAGAAAAGTGACGAAAAATGCACAGTTCAGATGGTAACAGTACAAAAAGAAAAGCTTCTTGGGTGGGGAAATTAAAATCCATCATGTTTCAAAGTTCTGGTGTAATTTGTTTCAAATTCAAAATTCCTTTGATATGTGTTTCTACATGGTGCACCTGATTCGAAACCTTTTTCAATAGCCAAAGCAAAAATCCAAGAATAAAAGAGGTGCAGTAAAAGAACGAGAAAAGAGAAGCAGAACAGTCTCTATCTTATTCATCGGTATTCACTCTTTTAATAGAGTTTACACGGAAGAAACCCTAAAACCTAATCCTACTAACGAATGGACTCTAGGCTCAATTATATATATTAGTAATGTCCATATTAATATATTTATAACAATCAACAGAAATTATATTTTTGTGTTGATGTGATTTGACACTAATAAATCGATTAGGCGATTACGTAGCTAGGCAATAAACAACATATAAGCTGATAGATTAAGAAATATTAACCAACATATGCACATTTAGCCATTTTTAACTAATATTTCATGACATATCCAGACTCGATTCGAGTCTTTTTATGTTAAAGCTATCCATAAAAATATGTTTCCATTTCAATCCGAACTACAAATAACAACAAACTTTTTTGTGGGTTGCTTGGTAGGGAGGATACCGATAACAAGATCACACTCAATGGATATATAGTTGGCTTACTTCTATTAACCTCCTTTCAATTGTTTTACAAGAAAACTGCCACATTAATATTTAATATGACAATTTTCTTAGACCTTAGTAATAGTGGTAAAATTTGTATGATCAGCTTTAGTTGGTGACTTTTAGTAAAACCTTTCAAGTTTAATTCCTTGTTTGTTTGTTGCTTTCTTTTTGCCATTTACGAATATCTCACAAATCAAGATTATAAGAATACGCTCAATTTCTCACAACTCACAACTATATATTACTAATCTCACAAGCAAAAGCGCACAAACACACACATAAAGTACCCCACCTCAGCAGCAAATCATGCTCTAACTGACAATGGCCGACCCACTGCCACCACCACCGCCGGCGACCCACACTGTCCAGCTGCCCCACGATGAGCAAATCCCCCGCTACCCACCGGAAATCGCCAAGAGGATGGCGGCCCTCACCCGCATACAAGAACGAGCCACCACGATGGAGGCGGAGGCGTTGATCGCCCGCGGCCGCCGGAGATTCTTCTGCCTCTTCACTCTCAGCCTCGTCTCGCTCGTCGCCGTCGCCGCCTCTGCCGCCGCCGCAATGTACCTCGTCTTCGATTTCAAGTCGCCGGAGTACACTGTGCTTGCACTCGCGATCCGAGGCCTGGATAACCTGACGTCCTCCTCCGCGCCTATCTCGCCGGAAATCACCGTCACCATCCGCGCGGAGAACCCCAACGGCAGGGTCGACATCTACTATCTCAACCACGGGGCCGCCGGCGTCTCGTGTGGAGGCGTCCAGCTGAGCAGCGGCAGAATGACGGCGTTCTACCAGCCGAGGAGGAGCGTGGCGGTGGTGCGGGTGATGCTGGCAGGGTCCGGCGTGGAATTGGGCGGCGGCGCGGCCTTTTTGACGGCGTTGAGAAGCGCGGAGAGGAGGCAGAGGGTGCCGTTGGTGGTGAAGGTTGAGGCGCCGATTGTGTTTGAAGTGGGGTCGGCGAAGACGTGGAAGATGGTGATCAGATTGAGATGCCTCGTCGTTGTTGATGCTTTGGCTGAAAAGGCCGAGATTTTTGACAAAAAGTGTGGTCATACTGTGAGATTATGGTAACTGGTAAGGGAGGAGATGTTATTTTGAAATTTTGCATTGTTGCTGGATGTCCCGTCGACGACGACCTTGTTATAAATTAATAAAATTAATATTGATTGTTTATTTTTTTATTTATTTTATTACCTTGCTATGCTAGGAGTATATAGTAATGCAATGCCACATATAAATTAACCATTTAAGGATCAAGACCATAAAGAAGTAGCTATTAAAGGGAAAAAA